AGTGTGCGGCTTCGCCCCCTATGAGCGGCGCGCCATGGAGCTGCTCAAGGTCTCCAAGGACAAGCGCGCCCTCAAGTTCATCAAGAAAAGAGTGGGGACGCACATCCGCGCCAAGAGGAAGCGTGAGGAGCTGAGCAACGTGCTGGCCGCCGTGAGGAAGGCAGCTGCCAAGAAGGACTGAGCCCCTCTGGAATAAAGCTTTGCAGAAAAAAAAAAAAAAATGCTATCATTATGAGCATCTACAATGTACCAATAAAGTTATTTTGTTAAATGATGGAGGGGTTTGATAATCTTCACAAGAACCACTTTGTAGACTAGTATGAGGGGAAGCCAAGCAGAATGGCTGAACAAATGTGGGACAAGTTGGGCAGATGGCCTACTTGGAAGGCTGAGGCAAGAGGATGGAGGAAAGTTCACTGTGAGACCCTGTCTCAAAGAAAAAGGGGCAGGGAGAGAGAGAAAGAGGGGGGAGAATATGAATATGAATAAATGAGAGGATAAACAACACTTGCAAGTTTTCCGGTAAAGGGAGGCAGAAACAGAGCAAAAGACAATGATGAATACCAGATCAAAGAATTTTAGATAAAGCAGGTTTGTATTCTGACAAGCAATGCTCTAGGAAAGGGAAAATTAGTAATGACAGCTTAGACCAGAGCAATGTACAGAGCCCCCCTACCCCTGGCTCTTCAATAGCAGATTCTACCAAGAGCTGACAGAAAATATTAGGGGGGAAAGGCATCAGTACAGACTTGTCATTATTTCCTAAATAATACACGGTAAGCGCTATTTTCACAGCGCTTACATTATATAAGGTATCTTAAATAACCCAGAGATACAGGGGAGATCCCTGCCCATTATCCATTGGTCCAATTATCTTTTACCATTCGAAATTACCTTGGGAACACTGGCCAAGATCAAAGTTCTTCCATTATATCTAAGGTGACATTAGAAGACAACTATCTGAAGAATGTAGTCAAGCAGATTTCCCAAGCTTTACTTCAGGACTGCCACTTCTACCACTAGACTCATGAACCACAGCAGTAACCACCAAACAAGACTGTACATACTTGGGATGCTACGTTAGGGTCTCCATTACTATTTGTCTTTACATCAAAGAAACCTAGTAAAACTCCTCTGATGTTACATTTAATTTATAGGTTAATATTCAAATGTTTAGTCAGGGCTGATGAATGATGGTCTTAATTAGCCTGCTACTAACCAGCTCATCTCTGTACCCAAGATTAAATTGTAAGAATGTTAGGGAAAATCCTAACTAAAGTTGTGCTCTCAGCTTAGTACAAGCCCTAAGAAGTAAGTTTTAAGTGTAAGAGATGTTTTCACCAACAAACACATTAACTCTTTTTTTTTTCTTTTTTGCATTTTTAGGACAGGTTTTTTTTTTTTTTTTTTTTTTGCGGAACCCAGGATTGAACTCAGGCACTTGCACTTGCCAGGGAAGCGCTTATTCCACTGAGCCATCTCCCCAGCCCCTTAGGACAGGGTTTTAAAGGGTCTACAGGGATCACTGCGTAGATCCAAATCTCATAGTGATTTTCCTGTTTACAGCCTCCCAAGAGCTGAGATTACAGGCGCATGCCACCAAACGCAGTCTCATTAGCAGCAGGCCACAGGCCCGGGGATCCCGCCCCTGTGTCTGCCTAAGCAGGTGCTTTAATCCGCTGAACTATTTTGCTGGCCCTCACATTAATTATTTTTCCTTACATAGATCTATGATGTTAAGTACGCTGAATTCTGCCTAGCAGATATTTCTGAAGTAGAAACTGTCAGGTGCTGCCATGTTGGGGTATACCTATAATCCCTAGGGAAACTGAGATGGGAAGATCACAAGACTATAGCCTTGGCAACATAGCAAGAGCCTATCTCAGTAACACAAAAAGAAATGTGTCTGTCTACAAACTTGTTTCTTCAACCTTTTGTCCATTTCAGAAATGCTATTTTAGATACATAAAATTTCAGAAAGCAATAAAGGGCCGGGGAGATAGCTCAGTAGAATAAGCGCTTGCCTGGCAAGCGCAGGGTCCTAAATTCAATCCCCGGTACCGCAAAAAAAAAAAAAAAGAAAGAAACAAAGAAAGCAACAACAAAAAATACAGTACACGGGAGAATGTGATGAGTAACACACAAATACTACACCGTATACGGAGCTTGAATATCTTCACACTGGCATCCAGAGAAGGTCCAGAAGCCTGGAGGAGGGGACGCCTACAGGGGTGTTTCTCAAGTTGGAGGACAGCCCCCGTCGGGGGGTGGCAGAATGAATTTAGTGAGTGTAAAAAGTTCCACCTGCACGTGCTACGCTGAGCAAGCATGAACAAGACCACGCGGCGCTGCTCAGGCCCTTACGCCCTCCTACACACAGACATGACACCCTCAGACCCTGCGCTCTCCCGACGCTCCCTGCCGCGCCTCCCATACTCCCATACTTTCTTCTCCCCAGAAACCCCGCCTCAGCAACGCCTCGAATTCGAGAGCACCCCCGTCCAAGATCGACTCCATCCCAGAGAACCGGATCTCCTCTGGGACCTTCAGGGAGGACGGCCCTGGCTTTACAGCTCCTAACTCCCGGGACACCAGCCCGAGCTCCCCCACACGCCGGCCCCAGGGAACGCCGGTAAACGACAGGCGGAGGGACGAGGCACTGGATGGGGAAGGGGGAGGGGCGCAGAGAGGCCGAGGACAGGACGCGGTCCCCACGCGGGCTCCCGGCGGTCTGACAGTCCCCAGCTGTGCCTCTCGGCCCAAAGTCGTGAGCTCCCGGGTTGGCTTACACTTCCATGTTGTCCCGCTTTATCTCGGACGAGGATGACAAGCCGCACCACCACCACCGCGCCCACTTTCCCGGCTGAGAGCCCTGGTATCCCGCTCAGCGCGCAGCAGTGCACGCCGGGAGCGCTCCGCTGCATGCCGGGAGTACAGCGTTGCATGCTGGGAGCGCGCCCGTACCGCGGCCGCTGTGCGTCCCGGTGTTTCGTGTTTTCACTTAGCTCGATTTTTAGCCTACTAAGCCTTTGTGCGCAGGACTTACATAGTACGTGATCTAAATTAATAAACTAAGCTTGCGAAGATCTGATCAGATTAGTTGGGTTATACGCCATCAAGATCCCACCCCTGTGTGCGCTGCTAGTTCTTGAGCTGGGTGTTCCCTCAGGCCGCCGAGTTCAGGGGTGCTGAGCACTTATGTGCGCTTTTCTAGAGTTTAAAAAGTTGTTAAAAGGTTAAAAAGGAAATCTCACCTGCCTTCTTCCTGTTCCCATCCTTCCTGAAGAGTTATTTGAGGGGCCGGGAGATGGCTCAGTGGAATAAGCACTTCCCTGGCAAACGCAAGGGCTGAGTTGAATCCCTGGTTCCGGCCAAAAAAAAAAGTTATTTGAGAGACAAAAACAAAAAAAGAGCCAAATGACAGGCTCTGTCTCGGACTTTGGGGTCTTTCAGGAAATTTGTCCAAAAGGAAAAAAGATACAGGTGTAGTGGTGTCCTTTTTATTTTTATTTTTATTTTTATTAGTACATGTTTGCAGAACATAATGATTACATTCATCCTGATACACGTTAATGCATATATGCAACACATCTTCATTCTATGTCCCTTTCCCCTCCTCTGTCTCCATGGCTTGGTCCCCTTCCCATTTAGAAAAGATGTCCCTGTTTCCTATTATATATACTGTATGTTGCTCTTTCTTTTTAGAGGACTCATTAAGAGTTAACCTGTTAACCCTGAGTTTTTATGACCTTTGACACGTTTCACCTAGGTGGTTGTCCCCTTTGCCCCAGCCCTAATCTCCTACCTCAGGCTCTGTATACTAATTTGTAAATCATGTATCTGTTAGGCTGTTCAAAAGATATTAATTATAGCGGGCATGGTGGCACATGCCTATAATCCCAGTATTCAGGAGGCTGAGGCAGGAAAATCACAAATTCAAGGTCAGCCTGAACTACATAGGGAGACCCTGTCTAAATAAATAAATAAATGGTAATTTTGTACAGGATCTTTTTTTATGTAGGAAAAGTAATTTTATAAAGGTAGAAATAAGCACTTACATAATTTTACAAAGAAATTTAGAAATCTGACCATATACAGAATTGTAACAGGACAGACCTGTGACTTTTTTTTTCTTATTCTTGTGACTTTTTTTTCATTTATCACCCTTTAAAAAAAAAACAAAACCTTTACTTGAGAGACATTATGGCAATAAATGGTTTGTCATGACAAGAAGTACATATTTAGAAGACCAGGATGGTAGGCACCCCACACGTGACCCCTCTATTACACATCGCCATCCTCAGTGCAGCCGCCTGGCTCACGGGCACCAGCATATACAGTTAGTCAGGGTGAGAATCTCACCAACCAACTGCTAGTCTCGAAAACCTGCTGATGTCCCCCAGGATCACTGCCCGACCCATCTTGTGCATACGAATGCATGGCTTTAATGTTTCTCAGCTTTTCTCCTTGCCCACTCCTCATTGTCTAATCCTCAAGTTCTCGCTTTCCTTTTATTTGTGTTATAACTTTCTATATGTAATTCCTCTTTTAAGTTCTTCTACTAGGGAGACAATACAATATTTACACATGTGGGTCTGGTTTATTTCACTTATATCTTCAAGTGGCATCCACTTAAATAAGAAGGCTTCGAGTTTATCATTCTTTATAGCTGAGTAGTACTCCATTATATAAAAGTACCACATCTTTTTCAACCATTCCACATGTGACGGGCATCTTGGTTGTTTCCAAGATCTGGTTATCACAAATTGTGCTGCTGTAAACATAGGTACACATATATCACTATGATATGACGCTTTCAGTTCCTCCGGGAAAATTCCCAGTAGGGGGATAGCAGGCTTGAATGGGATTTCCAGTCTTAGTTTTTTAAGGAGCCTCTACACTGATCTCCATAATGGTTGCACCAGTCTACACTCCCACCCACAGCCTCTCCAATGTTTGTTGTTGGTTGATTTCTTTATGATAGCCATTCTTTCTGGGGTGAGATGGTATCTCAGTGTTGTTTTAATTTGCATTTCATAGATGGCTAGCGATGTGGAGCATTTTTTCATATATTTATTCACTTCTTTAATTTCGTCCTCTGAGAAGTGTGTGTTCATCTCGGATACCCATTTCTGGATTGGGTCTTTAAATTTAGGGGCTCTAACGTTCTTTAGTTCTTTATAAATTCTAGAGAGCAGAGCTTTGTCTGAATGTTTATTAGTCAAGATTTTTTCGAAGTTTGTGGGTTGTCTTTTCACTTGGTAATTTCTTTTGATGTGCAAAAACTTCTCAATAAGAGGTGGTCCCAGTTGTTAATTCTTTCAAGTGTTTCCCGTGTGATTTGGTTTCTGTTCATGAACTCTTTGCCTGTCCCTATGTCTTCAAGAGATCCTCCTACTTTCTCTTCTAGGAGATTTAGTGTTTTTGTTTTAATGTTCAGTTCTTTAATCCATTTTGGCCTTAGTGCATGGTGATAGACCTGGGTGTGTTCAGGATCTTAACTCACTTGTTCTCCCAGAATTTTCTACAAGTGCAACTACTTTGTTTGTGGAGATTCAGTCATTAACAGTTTTAAATATTTTAGTGTGTAGATTCCATTTAGTAAGGAAATCCATATCAGCAGTAAGATTAAAGCCAAACTTGGTGACACATACCTGTCATTCTTGCAGTCTGCAGGCTGAGGCAGGCAGATGATGAGTTCAAGCCAACCCTGCATAACTCAGCAACTTAGTGAGACCTGCCTCAAAATAAAATAAATACATTTTTCAAAAAATTGTTTAAAGTAGGGGCTGGGGAGATGGCTCAGTAGAATAAGCGCTTCCCTGGCAAGCACAAGGGCCTGAGTTCAATCCCTGGTTCTGCAAAAAATAAATAAATAAATAAATAAATAAAAATAAATAAATTGTTTAAAGTAATATTCATATGTTATAATAGGAAAAGAGACCCACTAATAATAACTTACGGTTACTACATCTGAATTACTTTTAATGAATAGAATAATTTTATCTCTTAGTGTAAGAGTTGATGAATAACTTCAGATTGTACGGATATGTAAGTCATACAGCAAATGTTTTGTGTCCCTTTTTTACCTAACTTGCAGATATTTAGCTGAGTGTGGTGGTACAAACCTGTAATCCTAGCAGTCAAGAGGCTGAGGCAGGAAGATTGCGGAGTTTGAGGGCAGCCTGGGCTACACAGTGAGCTCGTAATCAGCCTGAACTACACAGCAAGACTGTCTCAAAAGCCCAAGACAAGAAAGTCCTAAAACTGGTTAGTGGGCGTGATTGCACAACCCTAAATACTAATATCATCAAATTATACCTTTTAAGCAGAGAATGTGTCTGAATATGAATTTTATCAAATATGTACACAAATTATCTATCAATAAAGCTGTTAACTTTTTTTTTTTTTGGTGCTTGCCTCTGGAAAATTGATTGGAGAAGTAAGGGAGATGTTTAACTTTTAGTTTTACACATTCTGTACATAAACGTTCTTCAGCAATCATGCTGTGGGAAACAGAAACACCAAAACAACACCCAGGACTTGGAGGCAGATTTATTTTACATTGGTAGGCGCTGATAGGGTTCATTCCCAGAATATCAGCCCCTGATCTCTGGTGGCGTAGGGCTTACACAGGATTAGCAAGCAGGAAGTACAGAGGCAGATGCATTGTCAAACGGGGATTGGTTTACACATTGTGCATTGTAGTGACCAGCCACTTCTAAGAGACAGAAGCAATGGGAACTGGAACAGGAATTACTACCTGGGCAACTAACAAACTCAAGTATACTGGCTGGGGACCATTTTTTTGTTACAGTCATGCTACTTTAAGTTACATGTAGTGTTTTTCAAAAGCATTGACTTAAAATCACCAAAGAAACCAAATGCCACCCTGGGCCCAACTGGTTGGATTGGCCTGGAGAAGCCTGTCCCTACCTTGAGGAGGGGGAACCACAAGGGAAGGGTACAGATGCTCACGTTATTCGCTCAACAAATGTCTACCATAGGGCTGGCGAGATGGCTCAGTGGTCTAAAGCACCTACTTGGAACAAGCTTGGCAAAGCACAGGGACCTCGGTTCGATCCCCCAGCACCACATGCCAGACAGCCCCGCCCCCTGGCAGGCTGAGCTGGCCACACACACACACACACACACACACACACACACAAAATAAATAAATGTTTAAAATTGTCTACCATAATCACTGACAGTACAGACATGGAGGACGCACGCCCTCCACCTGTCTCGCTGGCGCATGGTTGCGGGACCGGCTCTGCACATCAGTGACTCCCCCACCCAGCTTTATGTGCTGGAGCAGAGGAGCGATGACTCAGGAGAGGGGAGCGTCCCCCAGCCGGGCCAGGGAGGGACCTCTGGGGCCCCGGCAAAGGACTCAGGTATGACTGAGATGAGGATGAGGTAGAGTCATACTCAGTGTCTCGCCCAGCTACCTTTCACGCAGGTTAATGCTTTCGTCCCTTCTTCTAGGCAGGGGATGGGCAGTGGGAATGCCTGTGGTCCCAGCACTCTGGGAGGCTGAGGCAGGAGGATTGTGAACTCCAGCGCAGCCTGTACAATTGTCTTGTTTTATTTTATTTTTAATAGTCAAATTAAGTTTATTTCATAGATTGCATACATACATGTTTAGCCATAAGATCAACTGTTTAGGAGAACTTTATATCCAATTTACATGCTTTAGATACCACCTTTCATCTATCTTACAGTAAGGTCTTGATCCCAAAATCCACACAGAGAGCTTTAGGAAAAAAACAGG